CAAACGCGTTATAATACATTAGAATCTAACGTATTATAAAGCGGTAGACAAATCTAATTGAGTTGTAACGAGATAAAAAATTGAAACGCATTATAATGCTATAAATTTATGGAGTTGTAATGCAATGGAAAGTTTTATGCAGTTACAAAGCCATAAATTCCTGAAAAATAATTTTGCAACGCGTTATAACACGGTGGGCTACGCCTATCGGGTTGTAATGAGATAAATTTATAGCGTTGTAATACCATAATTTAAGAAAAAGCATGTTTCATAGGGAAAAAAGATCCCGTGGCAGTGTTTTCCGATTAGATCATGGATGCTCTTTTAATATTGTCATATACGTAATATATTGTCTTTCATTGCATCCATGATTTTAAGTCAATCTGTCATATTTTTGCTACTGTCAAAAATCAATTTTATTCTCAGTGCAAAATACATGACTGCGCTATTCATCAACTTGAGATATCTTATTGAAATAAAAAAATGTCTTATCGAACATATATCTCGTATATCTCGTTTACGAATTATTGTCTTATCTACCAAAAACAATTTCATCTGAGTGTTTTCGAAAAGAGCAATGGAAACGTACGTACAATCTAACGTGAGATATAAAGTGAAGATAAAAGTTTAGCAACACATGTATTCTCTCTCGCTTTCATTTATACCATCTTTGAAAAGGAGCTCTTTTCAGGTCACGCTGTGGATCAAATTTCAAATCAAAATTATCGAAAACTTGAAAACTGCTGATAGTACGGTGTTTCCACTCTTCTTTTTGCCGTTTAGGATACAGAAACTCTTCTTTTTTCGATTTACGTCATTTTCTAGCATTAAAGCGTGTCAGCGACGTTAGAGTACGAATAGTAAAACGAAGTAGACAAAATGTTGTTAAATTTTTTTCGCTTTTCGCTTCTTAAAAAAAGATTATAACTTCTGACCTGTTTCTATATCGACCAAATAGCTATGAGTCAGGGCTTACTACATTAATCGACAAAAGTTCTCTAAGCCTTAACTCGTATCGATGTGAGAGAAAAATAATCGGTTGTTAAACTATTTGTTTTCATTTTAGATTGCTATGGAAAAGTATCGTCGACGTCACCATGTTAATTGAAACAATAACGGGAAGAAGAAGGAAGAAAAAGATAGAAGAAGACCCCGTCTTGCGGCTACCTTGCGGTATAGGGTGCTGCCGAAGCAGTTTCGATAAGCCCGATATCTTCCCTACAGCTGATGATCTTCAGAGACGGTCACCCGTTCTTCTACTAGTCACCAAACAAGCTGTAGCCCTGGACCGAAGGCCAGCCTGAAACAGAGTTCTTTTCGCCCTATTGCTCGAGCTCCGCATACATACTCACTAACCACATACTAGCACCGAAGTACCGGTGTATGTCACAACGTAGTGAACATGCTATCGGACGGGTGATCCGAGACAAATAAGTGATTCCGTGATTTTCGAAAACAAGGAATAGTCAAAAAGAAAATGGCGTAGCGATGGTATCGTTTGTAACATACAATTAACTCTGTGATTACAGTATGACAGAGAAATGTCACTCAATTATTTAATATCAATACTATCCTCAAAATTTCCATACAAAAACCAAATACAAGCCAATAATATAATGTTGCCTACAAAATCTATTTACATTTATCACCAAATAACTATGCTCTCCGTTATTATAACAATTTTCTATATCGTCTGATATAGATTTTTTAACAGATTCCAATAATAACTACTTATTTCTATACGGAAAGAGAAGCCTGAAGTGTTACAATAAGCGTAAACCCATGTTAAGACTAATGGCCTAATTTGCAAATCTAGCGTACGCTGACATTAATATTGCCTGTAATTTAAGCTCATACTTAGAAAGAAACAGTTTAATTTTTCGAATCAACTAACTTTTTAATAACCATTTATCAATGACCACTTGAGAATCACAACTTTTGATCTCTCGTTCCTGAATTACACGTGAAAGACATGTGAAAATTCGAAAATACATTCATCATGGTAACGACCGTCGCAAGATTTAAGTAGTTTTATAACGAGAGCAGATATAAAAATAACTTCGAAGTTGAAGGCCAATAAAAGTGTAAAAACTTGTATCCGTTGAAAAAGTAAATTCTGCATTGCTTGAAAACCTGATTTTCTCGGTAATTTAACGTTTACTTGCAAAATGTTTCTGTAAAATAATAAATATAAAAGTTCTGCAATGCCGCTCAATTATTACATAATGAAAAATGAGCGTAAATATAACTCTGAATTAATAATCAGACCAGAGATATCATACAATGTGTGATCAACAACAGTAAAATGGTTAAAGTATTTTGAGCAGATAAATGAGATTGATATTAGTAACAGAAGTTGGTGGAAATTATTGAAATCATCTATGGGTCGGAGAGTCAGCTCTAGTATACCAAGTCTAAAAAATAAACATTCCCAATGGATTAATGACAACTATGAAGAAGCCGAGCTTCTGAATGAACATTTTGCGTCAGTTTGTACAATGTCACCAATTAATGACAACCTACCTTGTACGCCATTCTTAGAGACATCAAAAGAGACACTGGGTCATATTACCATTTCCGAAATGAAGATTCAAAAAAATTATAAATAATTTAAGTATTTCTAAAGCCTCTTCGGGTACTCTGACAACACGGATGCTGCGAGAATCAAGCCTGTTTATTTCTGATGTTCTAAGAGATATATGTCAGCAATCTATTGACACTGGAATTTTTCCATCAAGTTTTAAAATTGGATCGGTAATGAGCTTATACAAAGCCAAAGAACACTATTTACCGGAAAACTACCGATCCATAACACTGTTGCCCATTCTTTTGAAGGTTATAGAACGTGTAGTGTTTAATGCTCTGTATGATCATCTAACAAAAAATAACCTGTTAAATGCCATGCAATCTGGTTTTCGTAGAAAGCATAGCACAGTCACGCAACTAATAGAATTTGTTCATAATATACATAAAGATCTTGAGAACGGCAAAGACGTTAGAGACAGCAAGGATACGCTGGCAGTTTTTCTTGATTTTAGTAAAGCTAAAGTGTGGATCAAAGCACTCTTATACAAGTTAGAAAAAAAAGGAGTTAGGGGAAACCTGTTAAATTGGTTCCAAAGTTATCTTACTGGAAGATCGATCGTAACTATCGTTAGTGGGATGAGCTCTAAGCCAAGAAATATAAATCGCGGCGTCCCTCAAGGGTCTATTTTGGGTTCTATCTTGTTTTTAGTCTACATTGACGACTTTGGCTCAGATATGGGGTGTATCACCAGAAAATCGCTGACGATACAACAATGTCTCATTGCGATCACGACCGGACGAAAGTAATAGTTGATATGAACAATGATCTGAAAAAAGTATATGATTGGTCAGCGAAATGGCAACTATCTCTAAATATTGGCAAATGCTTCTGTATGCTATTCTCAAGAAAATTCTCTAATCTGCCTGTTGCTCCTGTTTCTATTGGTACAACGCAACTTGACTTCGTTTCGGAGCATAAAAGTTTAGGCGTTGTAATATCAAAAGAATTGAGTTGGCAAGGTCACATAAAATATATTACTACTAAATGTTATAAAATAATTAAGTTATTGAAGTATAAACTGTTTACAACTGTCTTTGAACAGATTTATAGTTCATTTTTTCTACAAACATTAGATTATGCCGATTGTGTCTACACATCGACATATGAAAGTCATTTAACTGAGCTTTATGACTTGCAATATCAGGCTGCGTTAGCTGTAAGTGGAGCCCTGCGGTCGTAAGGTAAAGAAAAAATTTTGCAGTGTTTAGGTTGATTACCATTAGATAAACTCTTTCTTCGGCATAAGTTAATTTTATTTTATAAAATAATTAAAGGACTTGTTCCTCCATATTTATCCTCATGCTTACCAAGCAAGGTAAAACATCAGTATTGTACAAGATATCAAAATAATCTAGACATACCTTCGATACAGACTCATAGAGAAATACTCGCTAAAAGCTTCTTTCCTTCTACTGTCGCTAAATGGAACGGGCTACAACAAAACATAAAAGAATCCAAAACTTTAGCTATTTTTGTGAAATCTTTAAAAGTACATATGCAGCCGAACTCAACTGTTTATGGAGTATACAAAATTCCAAGAAAAGCTGATATCATCTACTACCAAATAAGGTCTGAACTTTCGCAGTTAAATGCTGATCTCTATCAAAAGCATTTATCTGAAACTGATCTTTGCCAATGCGGCGAATTAGAAACACGACAACATTTTTTTCTTCATTGTCCCCGTTATACTTTCTCTAGAAATCATTTATATAACAGTTTACGATCCTTACGCAGAGACAGAAAAATTTTAATGTCTACTCCAGTAGGGAACCAAAATATTTCAGGTTTTTGAACCCTAATCGTGTAAGGAAAAAGCGACTTTGGGAAGGTTCTCTCGTCAGCGTTACTTTTGCTAAGGAGAACATTTTCTTTTCTTTTTTCCATCATCTAATGCTTTTGTGTGTCGAACTTTTACAACTTCATTTAGTTCCCAAGGAGAACTTATTCAGTCATTAATATTCGACGCGATTCTAATTTTTCATTAAAGAGTTGCTTTTGCTTATTTTAAAATAACTAGTCATAAAAGTCTGCATAGCAACAACATATATCAATCTCTTTGTCTTGAAAATCTTACATAGTTCAAAGACAAGCAAAACTTAACAACATTTTACATACAAAAACTGTACAGCAAGAAAAAAAAATCGACATCGTTTTAGAAGAAAGTCGAAACAATTAAAGGCGCTAAAATATTTAATTTCGACGTAGAAAACTCGACAAAAGTGTTCTGTAGTATAATATAAAGTAGCGTTTTCTTTTCACAATAACAAAAGCATGTGAAAAGAATAAAATAACCACCGGGTAACAATTAAAACAACATAACATTAAAAAACGACTGAAGAAAACTTAGACTCAGATGAATTCAGTTGTGACAAGATGACAGGCGTGGATATAACTTCGTATTACCTAATTTTTGTTACTGCTCTTCTTGAGGAGTGGCAACTGGAACGTAGTAAGGGATGGAAGCAGCATCTTTTACTGGCGATTTAGGTGAAGTATGATAAGATTGTTGCGTTGGGATTGATCTGTATAATAATAGACTTTGAGGTAATGACCGCGGTATATAAGAATGTGAGAGATTTGTACAGTTTGCTGGCTTTTGTTGTGATGAGGACGGAAAGTTCACTATAGAAGACATTGATTGTTGTACTTCTGGATTAGGATGAAATGGTTTTTGTTGGTGAGCTGAGAAACACGAAGGCAATACTGATGGTATTGTTAACGCTGGTTGATCATCTAAAAATAACCAATAAATGTCAAATAATTGCCGGTATCTCAAGGTTTGCACTTAAAATAACTTAGTCAAATAACGAAGCTTAGAAAAAACTTTCGTCTAGACTATACTAGTGTATTCAATACAAAACTTAATATGCAAATAATCTTAAATCTACGTCACTTTCGATACTTCAGAATGGGTTAACAATTGACTTGATTGGTTAGTTAAAGTGCAGTCTGATGAACTTCTTCAAAAGCTGTCAGTCTGTATAAAATCTACTAAACTTTTTCTTACTAAAACGAGTGAGGGCTTCTAAAGGTATGAGAGATTACATTTTATCGTTTAGAAAAATACTTTTATCGATAAATAAGTCATCTCTCGTTTTTCTCTGCGTTTATACCTGGTTCTACGATGTGTGCTGCGCTTTTCGATTCCAGTGCGTTAACTGATGGAATGACAATGTCACTTGGTGTTGTTCTTAATAATTCGGTTAGATTATCTAACTGCGCTGATTTTATAGTGTCTCCGTGCGGCCAAATAGAGTCTAGATTTTCTTTTGTAATTTCGTTAATATCTGACACTATTTCAAGTATGTCGTCGTTTTCATCATCAACATCTTTCATCAACTGTAACGGTGATTGGGTTCTGATTTTAACCTTATCATTGCCTGTTTTCGGAAATAAACCTGAATTAATATCGTTGGTATTACTTTTTCCACCGGAAAATTCACATAGTAAATCATTATAAATACGTTCAACTTCTTTAAAAAAATAAAATAAAAATACAAAGTATCTGTTTGTGATTAGAATGAATGACTAGAGAATGTATTTTCTATTCTGCTTAGCGTTTATGATGATGTAAACGTAACATATGCATCGCAAACGAAGATGGCTAACCATGAGTTTTATATATATTAAAAACTCGCCAGAAAATATAGACGCTTTTCTTAATCAGCCACTATCTCTGCAAGTTCATTACACCGTGCAATACAAGTAACATTTACTATATCATTGTCATTTACGCAGGAAAGTCTCAAGAACCCTCCACATCATTTGATACCTTTATTTATCACAGTTGATTGAGTATTTTGTTGTTTTTCATATTTATCGATATAGGCAAGTAATTCTTCAATTTGTTTTAATTGATTTTCTTCTGAACGAATGTGAACCAATATTCGTTTATGCATATCATTCAAAGTTGAACGTAAAAGATTACGAAATGATTGTGTATCGATATTTTTAATCACCTTTGTCTATACATAAAAGAAGAATTTTGTAAAAACATAAATGTGTGTTTTCTTCTCTATGTAATACTAACCAAAGCATTCGCTGGTGTCGTTTTTTCCTGATCATCATTAGAGGTATTAGTATTGCTTGTACAAGACAATACGGCAGCTAATAAGACAGATTGTATACTGTTTCATTCAAAAGATATGAACGTCTTACCGAGATCCTCTTTTGGCAAACCATAACTGGATGAATCATTTGAAAGAGTTAGCGTTGAAGGTGCATTTTTTATCTTAGGCGATGTGGCCGAAGAAGGAATGGTCATTACCGCCGAAGATAAGGAGTTGGAGTTAAATGTTTGTATTGATGAGGATATTTGAGACATTGATAAATGCTGACGAACTTCCGCGATACTGAAAGAGAACAAGCGACGTATTAATACAATAATTTTTCTTCAGCACCTTACAAAATCTAAAGTATTTTCGTCAAACTCTTTTAGAGAAAGAATCTTAAGAAAGATTAACAGCGTACAATACCTGCAAACTTGATGATTACAAAGAAAATATTCTGGTTTTGATGTCCAATTATTTAACGATACGAATGCTTTCGTTTTTAGCCATATCCATTCATGACCTTTTGATAAAAAACGATAATATAACAATGTACCTTTACCATGAAGCAACCCTAAAAAAACCAAAAAACATTACAAATGTTTAGCGAGAATTATAAAACTATGTTTATTAAATGTTTCTCTTTTATTATTTACATAATCGATGCTGTTTTTGGATTAATTCTAAATCATCTGGATGATAATATTCATAACCTGATTGACCAACTAATTCAAATGACGAATAGCCCGTTATCGCCATAGTACTACAGAAAAAGATGAGAACAAATAAGTATTAATGATTCAATAAGTAAAATAGTGTGAGAAAGAAGTGATAATACTGACATTTTCAGGCAAGAATTGTCATTATACCTTTTAAAGTGCTTCAGAGTAAGCAGAGACCCACAAATGGAACTCTCCGCATTTACAATTTGATTCGAAAACTACCCAAGATTTTTCCATCAACATGTGGAAAAAAGTGATCTATCATCTTCCCCGGACAAAAAGGACTGAGAACTAGCAACGATCAAAAACTTAAGAGGGACTCCGTTTTATCCCAAAGTGCTCTAATTCAAAAACTCGCATAAACTTGTTTACTTCTGATCAACGTAGATAATTTTCCAATCCATATTGTGTTTTATCATAAATTCGTTATCTTCGTTAGTCTGTTTTTGTCCGGATGTGGTAATATGATTAATAGTATAAACATGTTTAACACTAACTAACGCCATCAATAACCTTTCATTCCCTTTTTGAGCTAGAAAAAGAAACGCACACGTACATTCGATTTGGAGTAGTGATCAAAGGCACCGTGTTAGGAAAAGCAGTTACATCGAACTAGTAAAAAGAGTTACAGAATTTCAGTGAATTCGAGTTCAATAAATAATAGGATAACTACAGAAGATCGACTTTAAAAGTATCAGATTAAAAGACTCTCAGAGATAAACAAAAACAACAGTATTTCGAAATCAAGTAGAAAAAAACAAATATAATATAATCTATTTTCTATCAGATTCAAACAAACAGACTGCGGTAATAGAATTTTAGGAGTCTAAGACAAGTAGATAGAAAGGGCATAATTATTCATTTTTGGAGCTGTAAAACTTTTCTTTTTGGTAGGCTA